AACTACCCATCTTCATTGTAACTAACAACTAGACATGGCGAGAAAGTGGCCTGGAAGAGCTTGAGTGTATAGGGTTTAATAATCGCTTCTGTTCGTAGCACTATCCGTTGAGAAAGAAGGTTGGTGCTTATTTAGTAGCAATGGTCCATGTGTGAAAACCCATTGAGGAAGAACTGCATAATGTGGCTTCTCAGTGTCATTTAAATCCAGTGGCAAGACCATGGCAGGCCGACTAATAATGAGCCTGAACGCAAAGGCTAACATAAGCTTTGTCTACACGTGTCAAAAGAGACCCTCATCCAATGTAATTTATTAGCTGTAGCGATTACCGGGTGTGTGGGCGCTGGTCAGTGGAGATGCAGGCAACATATGACCAACAGATTAGGGTCGATCGGAATAAACACAACGTGCACTGAAAACCGCGGAGAGATCTGTTACTTATGCTTCATTCCCAAGACAAAAACTTTAAATTCCTCTTTGCAGCCACCACACTGTTAGCATAATAAGCAACAATAGTTTTAGTAGTGCACCTGGTATACCTCTAGTCCCAACATTTTGGCCTAAGGAAACGGCGGCTATAGGGATTTTATGGGTGGGGAATTAGGATAGGCAGTGGAATATACTTTAATAACGACGATATGCATTTTTATTTTATTTCATTTAGAAATGTTGTTGATTTATATTTGTGGGTGTTCCTAATCTGTATTATCTTTTAACGTATTGCGGAAAAGCCCGATTATCAAAATGCTGGTTTCTTGAAATTCCTTGAAAAATAGAAATGGTGGTTAGGAGGTCGTCTACTTCAACTTACCTGAGGTCCAACTACCGTTCTGGAATTAGGTTAGTAAAGTTCGCGGCCCGCACACCTTTAATTTACATGCGGAACAACTTACTCTCAGCGGCTCCAGAAAACAAATGCAACTATATTTTTCTACTTTACACTTACTTCTTCAAATGTTACTCTGTGCTTATCCTCTAGAACGTAAGCCGCTTTGAGGAAATGGCCCGCACGTGTCACCACAGTGGCCGTACGGTGCTGTCTCTATTCTTCATTGTCGGACACCCGGTATCCCCCACAACACAAATACAATGCAACTTGTCTCGACGGCAAGAAAACACCAAAATAACTGGGAATAGGAACAGGCGCAGTGGTCGACGGGGCCGAAGTCGCATGTGGGCGTACTGCGTATTTGACGATAGCTAACTCTTCATAATGTAGTCATCAATGAGGAGGTCTCGGAATATCACATAAGTCTGTGGCATAACGGACACAATGACAAAACGTTGCAGACTAACCCTCAGTGCCGAGAAGAATCTAGCTAGCACGTTAGTTTACGGTCTTTCGAGACGCGACTGACCAACACTGCAACGGGATAAACTCACGGTTAGTTGTTTATAGTTAGGTGATCAAGCGTTAGCCTTTAGCTAGATTAACCTCAACCTTCTCCTTCTCCTATATCCGCAGAAATTGCAGGTCAAACAGTTGAGGGTGACATTGGTCGCAATAATTGACGTGACGTAAAACCTCTGCCTAATGCGTGTCATGAACAACACCTGCATTACCACGACAAGAGCGGTCATGGAAGATACCGATATATTATGGGTGGCCTATATTAATGAGACAAAAATAGATAAGCCCGAAGTCTACTCAGGATATACTGACTGCAAAAATACCGACCTGGAGAGAATAAACGCAAAAGCGACCATTACTTCCTAAAAAGTGACAGTACATACACGGATGCTTAATAAAAACCCATATTATAGTATTTTTAAAAGTACGAATCTTACTATTGGTAATTCGATCGTGGTGTGAATGCGTCATTCTGAGGTTACAACCCTTCCAATATTCTAACACCATCATTAAAGCGGTCGCAGAAAGAAACTAACATCCGAAGTTCAGCGGACTAGAATGAAGACAACTGGTTAGTAGGATGGAGCGACTGTGCCATAGAGCGTTATCCTGAACTCGTACTAATTAAGTGGCAAATTGCATGTCCAGCGTTATGAGAGCCTTTTAAAAGTATCTCATTACGGGTGAAAATAAGTGCTTAACTGCCGCTGATTTTACGGAGGTGGAATAGGCTGTCGCCGGAATCAGCACTGGGTCGCACCCCGCAACCCAACCGTTCTAACCAAATTCTAACCGCTACGCGTGGTAACAGATCGTAAATCTCCCC